CTGTCTTTGTGAAACCTGTCTGACCCTGTTTTTCCCTGTCTCTCAGATCCTGACTCGCCTAAAAACCAGAAAAACTTTGGAGAGAGAAACCACGGCTTGGAATCTGCCTGCCTGCACTAAGTCTGAGTCTCTGCCTCTGCCCATGCCTAGATTCTGCCTGCGAGCACTCATTCTCAGTCTCTGCCTCAGATCTCAGTCCTCTGCCTGTCGCCAGCCTCTGGACTCACAAGGTTCTTCCCCTGCAGATCTGAATCCCTTCTCTCAGCCAGAAACCTGCCTGCCTGCATTCTGTCTCCGTCTCAGCCTAGCCCTCAGTCCTCAGCCCACTGCCTGCCGATAAGCCTCTGGACTCATAGGGTTCCCCCCCCCTGCTGATCAGAATCCCCATCTGTGCAGTTAAGTTCCTCCTGTGACCAGGCCACTGAACCCAGAACCCTTGTATTTTCACCATTGTACATATATAAATAAATCACTTAACTTTTCCCCGGTTTCCAGTGAGTGTTTCTGCATTTTGGGTTAGACACCTAAACCCCATCATGACAACAGCTTCAACACTTTTAGGGTATCTTTACCAGCATTTAGTCACGATTTTGCTGAAAATAATCATAAATCTGCCTTTATCATCATTCACCAATTAGTTGATTTTTGGTACAAATCACTCCTACTTACGTTCTTACTGCTGTTTCTACTGATGCTCCTATCACCATTATTACTATTCATCTGCTCCTCATGGCTTGCCTTTCATTTTATAATGTATTACTTCTACTTTATGGACTGGAACATTTCCGCAGATTACAATTGGCTGTTATAGGACAAAAAAAAACAAAAAAAAAAAAACACCTAACATCAGCTTGATACCGAAAGCAATTCAGTAATATAGCAGGAAAAAAAAGAGTAAACTAAAGAGATGAAGACTAAATGTTGGATTTTGACCCTTTATAGGGCACACGGTTAAAAGCGTTATTGGATGACAGACCAAGACTTTATTACATTTGTAAAATTAAAAAAATATGTATATTCTGGTGGCAAAAATCAGGTTAGATGTAGTGACCAAAAAAATCACTTGCCCTATAAAGGGCTAAAACTTTACAAAATCATTTGTCTACTGGTGACTTCACTTTCAGATAAAAAAAGAAAACTTTAAAACATTTTTCCTCTAGTTTGAATCAAGCTGAAAACAATAGCTTGTATGTTTGGGGTAATAGGTGGTTTGTATCAAAAATGAAAGGTATAGACCAACAAAGCATTTGCATTGCTTTTGCATGGATTGCTTTAGATGGTATGCATGCCATATTGCCAGTGAGCTCTGAGTAAAGTATGCTGTTTGTACTTGCTGTAATGTTACACTTCTGCTGATGGTTTGGTCTGCATATCTTATTTGTGTTGCTGTTTTCATTCTATATTTGAGATTTCTAATCTATATGACACTTCCTTCTAAAATTGAGTTAATAGAAATATTGCCCCGGCATAAAGACTGGACTCTTGTAGTGTACGTCTAAAAGCTGTCATACCTCTCCATGACTTTCACTCCGACCCTTCTGTTTAGTTACTTGGTGATGATGCTTCTGCATAAATGTTCTCTAAGTAATCACCAAGCCCCTGAGATAATAACAAAATAGCTGAATTGATACTGAGTTTAACACAGATGGACATTAATTTTGGCAGTTGGTTACTCAGTGGCAAAGGAGTAAGTGGGATAAAAGCAAATGCATGCCAAACATTCCAGTCTTTTAAGCTATTTGTAAAGCTAAAAGTCAAACCTTGGTTTCTGCAAGGGTAGTTTGGTTTTCATCTCAGTCATGGAACACTGGACCAGCATAAAAAGTTCTAAAGTGGTCATCGAATTAAGCCTTGCCGATGAAGACTAAAGAATTGGGGCCATTTACAAAGAGCCGTCCAGTCTCTGAACAAGTGAAGCAGTAGTCTGGTTGGTCTTTCTCACATCAAGGCAGACCTGTTACCAGTCTAAATGATTTATAGAATTATAGATGGGGACTGGTTTGGGAACCAGAAGATTTTTTTCTCTACATTTTGCAGAGGATGTGGTTCTAGGGGCTCCGTCCAGTCATGATCACAGCTAGCACTGGGGTGGTTCACAGATCCCCAGAACAAGCAGATAAAATGAGACTACACTACAGGGTGGCACTAAGAGATGGAGTGAAGAGCTCAGCTATGCAGGAGGGGCTTGAAGTAGAACCACCTCTCCTCCACATCGAGAACAATTTGGGGTACAGTAGCTTGGGCATATGCTTTTGATGTCCTCTAGAAACCTCATTTGGTGGTGTTCCAGGCACATCCCATTACAAGGAGGCTAAGAGGATGCTCCAGGATATGGTGGAGTACTCTATGCTCTGAAAACCGATCTGTGCCGAGCTTGGATCGGTTATCAGTGTCAAACTCTGTTCCTGAAAACCATTTACGAACCACACTGGTACGGTTCCTCGCCTCCTAGTGACGATCTACGGTACTACTACTCTCTCTAGAGGTAAACAAGCAGACCAACATAGCAGCACCCATAACAATCAGGAAGTTTGGGGAGGGTCAGGCGAAGAAGGCAGCCAATGGTGAAGTTACTTGACAGAGTCGGCTTTTGGGAGGTGGATACAACAAACAATAGTCTAATCAGGGTTTACAGATGCATTAAACAACAACAAGAGTTTAGGTTCATCACACTGCTAAGCAGAATCATCACTGTAAATTGTGTGGCACGGTAGGGAAGCTTGTGTTTTTATGAATGTCTGAAATTTCATGATTACGGAGGCTGACTGTAAGGAGATCACTCGGTCTGCTCATGCGCTGTTTCTTATCAGAGAACCAAGCCAGAACTGAACCGCGCCGAAACCTACTGAAGAACTTGTACTATGTTAGCGTGGTTCCATTGTATCTGGCCTGGTCCAGTTCAGTTCTGCACACCGTTTACATTTAACAGTTATCTTAGTTGCCGTGCTCGGACTGATCCTGGCACGGTATCAAAAGGGTAGAGTAAATGGGGCTATTGTCTCTTGGCTGGCCTGGGAATGCCTTAAGCCCCACTTACACTGCCCTTTCGAAAATGTGCTGAGATTGCTCCAAGCACGGTAACCGAGATAAATGCTGAGTGTAAATGGCACACACAACTGAACCAGACTGCACCAGACACAACCGAACTGCGCAAAAGTGGTACTAGTTCATGAACAGGGCAAAGCACGTTTCAGTTCTGCCTCGGTCCTCAGATAAGAAAGAGCGCATGAGCAGGCCATATCATCTTACAGTCAGCCTCTATAATCATGTAATTTCGGACATTCATAAGCCAGAGATGAGGAAGCAACTAAACAAGGAACCAGCACTGAGTGACTGCAGAGGTGGTGTATATAAGGGGAACAGAACAAAGGATGGGATAAATTAGCTAAATAAGTAGCAGGTGTGAATGGAACTAACTAGAGGGAAGTCAAGGGGAAAGGAAACAAGCACAGGGGGGAAACAGAGAGTAACTAAAGACTGCTTGAATATAATGGAAAATAAACCAAAGATCAACAAAACAGAAGAACTGAAAAGTAGTCCCAAAAGGGGAGAACCATAACATTCTGCTTTGCAGTGTGAGGAACCTAAATGTCTGTCATTGTTTCCTGCATCTGTAGGCCCTGCTTAAACTATTGTTTGTCAACCGACCCTGTCAAGTAAATTCACCAAAGGCTGCCTTCTTCGCCTGGCTCTCCACAAACAACGAAATATCATAAAGATAAAACAGAACTTTCTGAAAGTTACAGGCACCACCATGTTGGTTTGCTTGTTTACCTCTAGGGAGTAGTAGTACCGTAAATTGCCATTAGGAGGCGAGGAACCGTTCCAGCGTGGCACTTAAATGGTCGTAGGGAACCAAGCTCGGCAGGGATCGGTTTTCAGAGGGTAGTGTGAATTGTGCATTAGGCTTCCCTCGAAGGAGCTGGAGGTGTCCATGGAGAGGGAAGTCAAGGCATCATTGCTGAGACTGGGTATATAGCAAGCTATGTCCCTTGTACCTTGGATTAACTACACTGATTTTTCTGGATGCAATGTGGCCAAATGTCAAAAAAGTCCAGAAGTATGCTTTTGTGAGGTACTACATATGGCCTCTGATTGACCTGTATGGTGCAGATCAGACAAAAATAAGTCAAACTATGACACTAATGTGCTGATATGATGTTTTGTTATTGTATCTGATAACAGATTGCTCCAAGATGACTTTGTTTAACTGTTTTTTTCATGTGGATGCTAAATTTGTTTGCTTCAAATCTAAAAATCCCCTTGAACCTAAGGATCAAAGTTTCGACTTGTGTCAGATAATGGCACATTAGCAATAAAAAAGCCAAGTCATTTGACTAAAGAAAAGAAGAACTGTGACTGTCCTGAACCCAAGCTTTCAAATGTGAGAATTGTTAGTCAGTAAAAGTATTTTTCTTTAATAGTGTAGTTACAGAATTATAGAATAACTGAGAACCCCCACCCCCACCCCCACCCCACCCCCAAGATAAAAACTAACATGTGAAGAAAATAATTGATCCCAACTTGAGAGAATGCGTACAGGCTGGAATATTCCAATCAATTGACATGCTGACCTCGCTGGCACATAGCATTGTGTCCAGGGGGAGTCATGTGAGTGCACAAGACACACACAAACACACACACTTCCATGTGAGCCGGTAGGGGTGAAATGCTTTGACGGACTGTGCTCTGAAAACAGGTTTGCCCAAGCTGTTTGCATTGGCCTTGCTCCAGCCTACAGCTACTCACACTGAGATCGAGGGCAGGCATTAGGGAAAAATATGGAACATTTGATGCTTTAGAAAGGACAGATAAGGTGGATAAACATACACTTACAAAAACATAGATCAGTATAAATAAAAAAATGCCTTTATAGAGTAGAGGGGTGAAAATAAAATGGGCCAGGGGGAAGGAGGGGAATGCAGAGAAAGGAGAGTTTAAATTGTCGATCAGGACATTTTTTGATTAATAGTTTTTCACACAGGGTTGGAATCACTCACCACTTCTCTGCAACATTTTTCCCAATTCCAGTACTCTTCCAGGCCAGATCCCTTCTCAGGACTCCCTCCCCTCACCCTGTGGATCATAGCAGAGTGTAAAATAACATCACCCCTGAGAGAATTGAGCTCAGAGAGAAATGGGTAGATTCACTGAGATGAGGCTTCTCTTTTTACTCTTTAACGACTCTGTTACTTTCAAGCAACCTCCCTGCTGTTTTAGAATGGATCAAAAGATCCAAAGCGCAAACAGTCATACAGTAATATGTGAATTACCTAGAGGAGATTGTCACAACATAATCCAAAGGCACCTAAACATATGACCTAGTGTCCAACAAGCCTCTGATATATTATTCTATCTGCTCCAAAGCCACGTTATGATGGCCTTTTTTTTTAAACTAAATAGGTTAAAATGATGAGTGTAGATGACTCAAGTCAAAGTCAGCTGTCTCAGCTGGAGGAACCTTGTTTACATGTGATGGGAGCATGAAGTGCAAGATGGACAAGCAATGCTTTATTTGCACTACTCAAAGCCGTTCTCAAGAAAAAGCGGATCCAATTGGCAATTTGGTATTTTGAGTAAAATGTTGCGGTTTGTTTGTGACAACGACATTAAAATGAAAGCAAAGGAATATTCCTGATGAAACCAAAATTATTGTTTATAAATTTTCCTAACATGAAGATATAAATATGCCACCAAACATTTCTTCCTAAAAATACATAAATTTGCATCTGCATAATATCCACGACTCAAAATATCTTTCAGAGGAGATAATTTCTTAATAATTACTTGACGTTAACTCTGTAACTATCAGCTGATTTGTCATTTAATATAATTTAGAAAATGTGTCGTGTCCACAGTACACTAAATATGAAAATGTAATTAACTCTAATAAAGATCTCTGTTTGGCTAACCAGGTAGCAACCAGGAAGAGCGACAAACCTCTGCTGTCTTTCCATCATCCAATCAGACGTCAGAATGATATCACTTCCAAACAAACCATGCTTTTGCTTTAAATTAGAAAAATTAGGTCATTTTATCAATTGTTGTGGACACTGGTTAGCATTAAAAGCTAGGTATTAGATGTTTATACATTTAAATGCAGTAGCAACATGTTTTCTATCTGAAACCGAGATAGACTCCCGGTATATTTTAGTCAGATCTATCAAGCAAATTGGGAGCAATGTCCAACTGGAAGAGAGAGACACTAGAAAAATAAAGTACATCTGCTTTAGGGGAAAATACAAAGTAAAATCTCTGAATCACTGAGGTAAACCTGCCACTTTCACCCCATTTGTAAACATGGTGCATATATAGCAAGCAGGGCAGACTCAGACATACACAATCAATAAAACATTTCAATAAACAGTGTACTTTACCCATGATAGGAGCTCAGGAGGACATAAAACAGATCACGTAAAACAGAAATACTCTTTGAGCTTAAACAAAAAAAATAAATAACATGTAACAACAAATATGGTTAAGAGGGACACATGCATCTTATCAATTTGCTTTATCAGAACAACAGCCTGACAGAGAACGGACACGTACATGACTCAGTTTCTGGTAGCAGTTGATGTTTTTAATCTAACACCATGCAGGTTCCCAAGCTGCCCCTGGTCAAATAAATCCAAATCAATCAGCAGAATCTGCCTGAAACAGTTTGACACCGTCTTTAATATTTTTGATTGGTGCATTTGCCTAAAAGGCACTAAGAAACAACATCAAACGTTATTGTCATGAAGCAAACCAAAGCATTAAACTGGAGTTAGTCATTGCCCGATCTGTTGTATGAATGATATTAGCCAGCTATTTAACAGCCTGGGCCTGGTTACGCCAACAAACAAGCATTTTATCGATCCAACTGCTGGGTTCATGCTGTCTGGAAAGAGGCTGGCATAGTTTATGGCAAACAACTGGTCAAAACATGTTGGGTTAGAAAAGAGGTTTATCATTTTGAAAATATTGAATTCTACAACAAAAATTAGAGCTCAACCCACAGAGTAAGTTTTTATATTTGACCAAAGACTTGGTGGGTATGCAACATTTGCACATGGCCTGTCCTGAATGTTCCTCTGATTGACTGGTCTTACGTCTAAAGCAGGGGTCTTCAACGTTTTCGAGGTCAAGGACCCCCAAACTAATTGTGAGATGGAGCGGGGACCCCCTAATTATATATATTGTGTGAAATTGTGTTATATCAAACTGGTCCTATAGTCACTCTATTACATATGGAGTCATGTAACAAAAGTAATTACTCCCTGGGATTATTAAAGTATTTCTGATTCTGATTCCTGGTTGATGGGACAGGTGGTGTGAATGAAATAGTGCCCAGGTTGGAAAGAGCCCCTGTGTGTCGCTAAATGTGTGCATTGATGACTGAAGGACATCTTCTGCTTCCATTTATATGTTTCCTACAGTGCGTTGAATTCATGTTAATGTGTATTTAAAGACATTTTAATTAGTGCAAAAAATTGCAGGAGGGAATATAAAAAAAAAAGTAATCAACCAAGACTTTCGCGACCCCCATGCAGTACCTCCGGGGACCCCATAGGGGTCGCTGACCCCCTGTTGAAGACCTCTGGTCTAAAGGGCTGGTTATACTCCCAAAGCAGTGTGTCTCAGTGAGCTTGTTGCAGATATTTTTGATTTATGCCCAATATTGAATATTGAATATATTAATATTGGTCTCCGCTATGTCACTCCACGCCACAACGCAAGAGGGACAATCACGAACTAGCTGTGGGTCTAGATATGGCCGAGGTGGTGAGGAAGTGGGGACATGAGGGCGAAAAAGAGCGGGGATCCAGGTGGAAAAGGGTCCCAGCATTCTCGCGCACCTCACTCCTATAGCTGGTCCAACTTCACAAGTCCTTTTCCACAGTCATACAAACAAAACAAGCTGGTAAGGTACCAAACAGGAAATATGCATAGTGTAGAGCAGATGTAGATTTGACCAATGAGATGCCTCCTGTCTGCGGTACTGTCTGCGGTCACCTATAATTTTGTAGAGGTGCACCAGAGTGTCTGTGGAAGGGGCGGAGGCCCATTTGCATTTGCTGCGACACAAACGCAGACAACCTGGTTTCTGAGCATAAATCAGCCTTTAAGTCAGGGGTGGGCAATTCCAGTTCCTGTGGGCCGGTATCCTGCAACTTTTAGATCCATCCTTGGTCCAACACACCTGAATTAAATGGCTGAGTTACCTCCTGAGTATGCTGTCGGTTCCTGCAAATTCCTCCCAATTCCTCCCAATTATCTGATTACTTGATTCAGGTGTGTTGAAACAAAGGCACATCTAAAAGATGCAGGATACCGGCCCCCAGGAACTGGAATTGCCCACCCCTGCTTTAAGTGTTACATACCTCTCACCCATTCACAGCTGGATTTGGCCATCAACACCCCTTTTGGTTTGGTAAAAAGCCTAAACAGTTGAGAAACATGATGAGTTAAACGTATCCCCCATTGTTAAATTAGCCCAAAGCTGAAACGGTCCATTTATGACCCAGAGTGAGGTTAAGGAAAATTACCCAAAATTGGATTGGTTTTAATCCAGCTGTTTTTAGAGTGCTTTTTAAAAAATTAAACATTGCATTAGGCATAATTTGTATAAAAAAGGGAATCATCTACATCATTATTACTAACAACCAAACCAGAGCATCAAAATAGAGCAACATTGGCCCCTAAATTAGTCCTCTTAGACACTAAGTACTGGGACAGTATGTACAAAAACAAACCAGGACAAATTACACTAGTGACTCAGAGCCTCTGAGGGACATATATATATATATATATATATATATATATATATATATATATATATATATATATATATATATATATATATATATATATATATATATAGGTCCTGAAAAGTCAGCTGAATGGGAAAAACAAGATCCAAGCCATCAACACATATGCCCTACCAGTCATCAGATACCCCGCTGGCATAATAAACTGGCCAAAGGAGGAGATAGAGGCTACTGACATCAAGACGAGAAAGCTCCTCACAATGCATGGAGGGTTCCACCCCAAATCCAGCACTCTGAGACTGTACACCAAGCGTAGCGAGGGAGGCCGAGGGCTAGTGAGTGTCAAGACCACTGTCCAGGATGAAACAACTAAGATCCAGGAGTACATCAGAAAGATGGCCCCCAAAGACAAATGGCTTGGTGAGTACCTCAGGCAGGAGAAAACCGAAAGTGAGGACAAGAAAGAGGAAGGAGAACCATCATGGAGGGACAAGCCGCTGCACGGCGTATACCACAGACAAATAGAAGAAGTGGCTGACATCAAAAAATCCTACCAGTGGCTGGAAAAGGCTGGACTGAAGGACAGCACAGAGGCACTAATCATGGCAGCACAAGAACAGGCACTCAGTACAAGATCAATAGAGGCCAGGGTCTACCACACCAGGCAGGACCCCCGATGCAGACTGTGCAAAGATGCCTCTGAAACAATACAGCACATAACAGCGGGGTGTAAAATGCAGGCAGGAAGTGCATACATGGAACGCCACAACCAGGTAGCTGTCATAGTGTACAGGAACATCTGCCATGAGTATGGGCTGGAAGTCCCAAGGTCAAAATGGAAGACACCTCCTAAGGTAGTTGAGAATGACCGAGCTAAGATCCTATGGGACTTCAAGATCCAGACTGACAAACAGGTGATGGCTAACCAACCAGACATCGTGTTGATCGACAAACAGCAGAAGAAGGCAGTGGTGATAGATGTGGCAATCCCAAGCGACAGCAACATCAAGAAGAAAGAACACGAGAAGCTTGAGAAATACCAAGGACTGAAGGAGGAGCTAGAAAAGATGTGGAAAGTAAGAGCAGCAGTGGTGCCAGTGGTAATTGGAGCACTGGGGGCTGTGACCCCCAAACTGGGAGAGTGGCTACAGCAGATTCCAGGTAAAACATCAGAGGTCTCTGTCCAGAAGAGCGCAGTCCTAGGAACAGCTAAGATACTGCGCAGAACCCTCAAACTCCCAGGCCTCTGGTAGAGGACCCGAGCTTGAGGATGACACATACCACCCCACGAGGGGTGAGAAAACAGTTTTGTTTTTATATATATAT